CGAATTACCCTCAGCTAAAGGACCAGGAAGATTGGAGTGAGCTCTAATATGGTCCACAAAGCATGGCAGCTTTCTTTTGTGGAATAGCGTCTTGGATTTGTTGAAACATTTTGACTGGATTATTGTTAGTTCCAGTATTTTTACCAAAACTGTTACTATTCAAAAGAGTTAAGAACATAGATGTTCTTTCATGAAACGTATCCTTCATTAGCTCACTCTGAGAAAAAGCATTTTCAGGATTTAGCATTTTCACTTCATTAGCTTTAACTACTGATGTTATTAGCAGCTGTGATATTTAGCATTGATTTCTTATAAGGAACTTTCAGGTGAAGCAACTATTTTTTTTAAGAGATTTTTCTGAAGTCTGTTTCCCATCTATAAAGCAGTCATTTCTTTTTTGAATGCCTGTTTCTTATCCCCTTAATTAGATTTACAGAGGAATCACTCATTGCAGGCAGTTTGTTCAAAAGGCAAAGAACTTTTTTAATTTCAACATAAGTTTCCTCATATCTAAGACAACGTTCAGTGTATAAACTGCTCTCTTGCTTTCTTAAGGATTTTAAAGTGGCTTGTTTGCTCTTGTAGGTAGCTTTTTGTCATCCAACTACCATAAAAACTTTGCACAGCTATTAGGGTAAATAAGGCATTTTACCAACGGAGCCCCAAACCACGAAGCACCTAGTTCTGTATCCTTTCAATTTTTCCAATGGAACTGACACTTAAACTCTTAGATGATTTTCCTCCTTATTCTTTTAAAAGCTGTATTTTAAGTTTACCAAGAACGTGTTTTTGAGCTGACAAAAGTGTTTCAGGGCAATGTCGCCATCTTTAACAGAAAAACTACCTTTCCCAGAATGCATTTCCCTTATATCAGTCCATAATAATAATATCAGTCCCTTATATCATTTCCCTTATATCAGTCATTTCCCATAGTTCTTTTTGGGTCTGAGAGTCAACTTCTAAGTTCTTTTTTACCAGACTTGCTTACAAATTCTTGCCTGGGAGGTTTGAACAAAGTTTTTTGCTTTTGCAATGGGAGATTTGAACAAGCATTTTACATTTTCAATTATGGGACATTGGGAGGTTTCTATTCTCTCCTCAGGTGGCTTCAACAGGTGTCTCTCCTTCATTTGACATGGGCCCCCAAATCAGAACCGCACCTGCCTCGTTAGCGCGCATTGAGGCTGGCATTTCTGATAGCAACTTTCCTCGGGGCTTGTGCTTGCCTTAGCCTGTCAGTGAAAAACAAGATCATTTACCACAGCTTTTCCATAGCTCTTTCAGAGAGATTTTCTTCCACGGATCTATCTCATTTTGCTTGTTCCTTCCCCAGATGCAGAGCTTCAGGTATCTGTCTGTGGCTCTGTTCCCCTGCTAGCTGCTTTTGGAGGTAGGGGCTTTTTTTTTCTCCCCCCGAATCTGCCTCAAATTCTAGCAGCTTTTTCAGGTCATGCATTTTCTGGGGAGGATGCTGTCCCTTCTGTTTCTTCAGAGTCTTTCTCCCTGACAGTATCCAGTTTGGTCTCAGTTTATCCCCTCTACCCCAGAAACAGTTTCCGACACTACAGTGGTGGCTTTCCCTGCTACTGAAGGTAGGGGCTTTTTGTCCGTTTGTTTTCAGGGTCTGTATGGTTTGCGTACAGACTGAAAATCTAACAAGGGAGGTTTTTGCCATCTCTAAACTCCCATTAGGACAGGTGCTTTGCTTCATCAGGCCTTCACCTGGCCCAGTCCCCCAGTGGGTTGCATTTGCTTGTCTGGGTGCTCAAGGACAGAGCTTATGCCAGAGGCAATCACCCCTCAGGGCTACACTCCCTCATTTCACCAGGAGTTAGTTGAAACAAAGCTTTTCTCAAAGAGATGCTTTCTTTGACAGAAAAGAAAGCTGTACTAGTTCTGTTCTGCCCTGGCTGGGCTCTTTCCCCAGACAGTGTTCTGACTCAGCAGCACAACTGCTTCAGACACAGTTCAGCTTTACTGTTTTCCCAGAAAGGTCCTTACTCTAGTAGGAAAGCCTTTTCTCATTTCTTTTTGCAGCTGTGGACCTATCAACCTGGGACTTGTAGGAAAGTGGACAACTGTGCCATTCCCCCCAGCTTTAGCTTTGTTCATTAGCAATCTTCCCCTGGGTCCTGCACCTTCCTGCCTCAGCTCTGTGCTCCAGGAAGTTTACAACTGCAGGAACCTAGTATCCCCGAAATGCATCCCAACTCAGAGATGCTGGGTTTTTGGTCAGAAGCAAGGATACAATGCTAACAGTTTGCATTGCTTCAGGGGATCTTTGCATTAGGATGATTAGGAGCACCTTTTCAAAGACGCTCACTCAGAAACAAAACCCTTGATGCCTCAGCTGGGCTGTAACTGAAAAGCTTGGCTGTTTTGCTTTTCTCAGGTAAAGTCTCCTGCCCTTTTGGGCTCTCTGTAGCTCTTTACCCACACTCTCCCAAGCATTTCCCTCAGGGTACTCTGACCCACTGTCTTTTACTGGCTTGAAGAGACAGAGCTTAGAAGAGGTTTTTAGGAACTTGTCCCTGCCTCCTGCATTGCAGGGAGGATTTTTAAAGCTTGAAAGAGAACTTAGGTTTTGCCGTCTTAAGAGGTTTGTTGTTTTCCCTTTGAGCTTGTAAGGAACACATGTAAGGCCTAGGGTGAACAACCCTGGTCAGGAGTGATAAGCAATAGAATGATGTAAGTAAACCACAAATGGAGTAGTGATAAGCTATAAGCTATGTGTGGAAGTAGGGATAAGACTAGAAACCTAGCCAGGAAAGAATATAAAAGATGAAGCCTCAGACCCGACCAACAGAGCTCGTCAGGCCCTCGCGCGAGACGACTCTCCTCTGCCAGAGACGTGAGATCCTGTCCCCAGTGCAGACGTGGCTGACCTGAGGAAGGCTGACCCAAGATCCAGAGGAACAGACGTGGCGAGTCCGGACCTGTATACCCGGAGAGGTACTCCTGCTTCCATTTGGAAGACAGGATGAATATTGCTTGTAATCTTACTGTGTGAATAAATGAGTGTTATACCAAGTCTGGATCAAGAGTGATTATTCCTCCCCCGTAACTGGGGTATGTGCTCGCTACAGAGCTAATCACAGGTGGTCCCCATACTAATATCTTCAGGTGATTCTAATTTTTGTCCTTCTGAGAGAGAAAGTTAAAGGCTTTAGTTTTTAAGTTTAAGAGCTTTTGAGAAAGATGAAGGCTTTTTAGAGAGATTTTTTTCCCCAAATTTTCCAAGGAAAGCTTTATAGTTTAAGAGAAAGATTTTTTTCCCCAAGAGAGAAAGACCAACTTTTCCCAAAACTTCCCAACTTTAAACTTTTTGGCTTTTTACACCCCCATTTTTGCCTCAGGGAGAAATCACTTTCTCCTGCCGCTTGGACTTAGCATTTCAGCTGTCCCCAGGACAAAAGCTTCCATAGGAAACTTTTTTCTTCCCCATAAGCTCAGAGAAGAGCTTTTTTACTACCCGTAAAGCCCAAAGAAAGTTTTTCCCAGTTTGTGTTTATAGTCCCCAAAGTTAGAAAATTGTAGAGTTTTTCTGTCTAGTTGCCTTATTTTTTTCCTACATGATCTTACACTTCTAAGTTTTTCCTACACTATATTACTACCCTATACCTTATACTTATTTTTCGCAGATAGTAATTGAGAAAGGGATAGAAGATAGAAAATTTTGACAGAAGAGAATTTCGCTGCAGCATCGGACATCCTTCCAGTCCGCTTTCCTTTTCTCTCGAGGATAAAACCCCTGCCTCTCAATATATATAAAAAATATATATTTCCCATAACACCGGCATACCTTATCCACTGGCAGGGCTGAACTCAGCACTTTCGCCAAAAACTCTGTAATAAAACTATTATTTTCCTTTATCTTTAGTCCCTATTACTTTGTCTTTAGTCCCTGTTCATTTGTCTTTAGTCCCCCATTTTTCTTAGTCCCCCCTTTTTTTCTTTAGTCCCTTTTTTTTCTTTTTTCTTTAATCCCTTTTTTTTTAGTCCCTGTTCATGGCGCCATTCTGTGGGGCATTTACCCAACCACCCCCACAGTCCCCCAGAGTTTTCTTGAGTGCGAGCAGCAGGAAATATTAGATAGAAGGATTTATTGCGGAGATAAACAGATAGAAAATAAAGGATAGCCTCGAGAGGGCCTGGAACCTATTCCAAGGGGCCCCGACTGTCTCTGCCCCAGGGTTTTTATAGAGACGCCAAGGGGTGGAGCAAAAGACCTCCTCCCCCAGCACAGCCAAGTGCAGACCATCTCAGACACCTGCACTCAGGCCCGTGGTCCTAATCATCCTCTATGCGGATCTGCTGGGTAAAGCCACGAGGAACCCGAGAATGGGCTCCCACAAGGGCACGCCATTTTCCATATAGAAACTTATGGGCTCAAGCCCCCTCTTGCTATTCTTAATCCAGTACAAGAGTTCACCATCCAACCCATATCTATGACTTCTTCTGGACTCATTTTTTCTTAGTCTGAAATTTGGCTAGAAATAAATCTCATTGGAGAAAGCTATAAATTTTAACTGTAATTGTCCTGTGGAAATATCACTTGTAATGATTGTATCCTTTTCACTGGTTTCATATAAATAAGAAAATAAACAAATAAATGTTAAGTTCCTTTAGAAGAAATAAATAGGGATCTGGAAAGACAGCTCAGCAGTTAGGAGAACCTACTGCTGTTGCAGAGGACCAGACTTCTTTCTCAGCACCCATATCACACAGCTTATGATGAACTTCCTATAACTCCATTTTTAGGTTATCCAATGAGTCTGACCTCCAAGGGCACCCACATTCATATATCTGTACATTCACACATTGAATGGACATGTGCATATGTGTGCATACACATATAATTATATAAAATACATATTTAAAGAAATATAGTCTGATGCTCTTCTAGGCAGTACAGTGTAAGTTGCATTTACTATTTGAAAAATCCATGTATACATGAATATGCATTAATAATAAGATTCTAAACACTGAGGAAGTCTTACCTTCAGGTAGAAATATGGTGATGGTAGTACAACTCCCAATTGTAAGGAGTGAAAAAGCAAATGAAGGACGACGGCCAACATTTCTCAATATAAAATATGTGAGTAATTTGATGGGTATGTCTACCACTCCTAGGAGAATCTGGTTCAGGAAGATGTTGTTTCCCAAATTTCGAATATCCAACAAGATGCCAAAAGCACCGAACATTGCTGTAAAACTGGAAGAAAGCACACAGAAGGCATTCAATGAACTAAGGCATCAGAACATTTTATTATGGGGTGTGTGTGTGTGTGTGTGTGTGTGTGTGTGTGTGTGTGTGTGCGTGCGCGCGCATTTAGGATCATTATTTCTTTCAAAGATGCAACTAAAACCAAATATTACAAGTATGGGATGAAATAGAGTTTTATAATGTCACAGAAATTACTTAGAAAAAATATGAAAATAAGCCGGGCGGTGGTGCGCACGCCTGTAATCCCAGCACTCAGGAGGCAGAGCCAGGCGGATCTCTGTGAGTTCGAGGCCAGTCTGGTCTCCAAAGAGAGTTCCAGGAGAGGCGCAAAGCTACACAGAGAAACCCTGTCTCGAAAACCAAAAAAAAAAAAAAAAAGAAAAAAAGAAAATAATAAAATGATAAAATTATTAATAAATTGAGTAGAGTTTATATAAGTAAATTTATGTTAAAAACACTCTGAACTTAGTCCACTGCTCTGATAGACTCTATATCTGAAGTTTGTTGTGATCCAAAGAGAAAATAGATAAGTATATTCCTAAAAGATGCATAATTTCTTGAAAATCATATTTGTTTGGAGTTTAAAATTTTTATAAAACACTAGATTGCCTTATAATTTCATTATAAATAAAAAATAATGCATCATGAAATAAAACCTTCTGAAAATTTCAAAATTGTGGTAATTTTTAATTTGAAATTATGACACTATATGTATGTATATCCATTATAATTACTATATATAATAATTATATATAATATATGCCATTATAATTAGCAGAACAAGCTAATATATATGAGCAATGGATCTAGGTATGTACTGTTCTACTTAACATATCACTTCAAATTTATGTTTTAAATAATATATTTTTATGATTATAAGTTGCTTCAAAGATTATTTTTCTAAATTCATTTTACATATAAGGTCAGAGACATAGATTTCTCTTATTTCATTGCATATTACACTAATTTTTCTTGACTTAAACAAATTATCTTATGTCTATGGGTGTTTTTCCTGCATGTATTCCTGTGTGCAGAGGTCATGAGAGGGATCCTCTAAAACTAGAGTTGCAGAAAGTTGTTAGCTGCCATGTGGGTGCTGGGAGCTGGTCCTCTGGAAGGGTAACAAATACTCTAAACTCCTGACTCACCTTTTATTTTAGATAAATAAATGAAAAAATAAATAGAGCCATGAGTGTTGACTCAGAAGTGAAGGAATAAAGATAATTTAAAAATCCATGTAGCAGTGTATTCATTTAATATGTACTTTTTGCAAGATGGTAAAAGTAGCCACTTGAAAAATAAGATTGTCACTTCATTTTCCTACTGTTTGGGAGATGGTAATTTCTTCATTTAAAAATTATAAAGTGATGGTACATTTAACGTATCTTTGAATTTTCTTACGTCCCATTTCAGTTTTTACTATATATTGTATCATGTTCACCCACATTATTTAATGTATTTACTACATACAAATACTAAAGAACTAGGTCTCTGGACAGCTCTTTTGATGCCTGTACTTCTATTTATCAAATATCATGGTGAGAAGTACGAAGATGTTTTTAGTGATCATTTTCTATACAGAAAACCCTGGGCTCCAAATCTGTCTCTTGCAGCTCTTGACCCATTGTGAAAGTTTATCATGCAATATGTGTATGTTTAGGAAAGTCAGATAATTTCTCCTGAGGTCATTTTTCTTATCCTGAATTTGGACTAGAAGTAAATTCACTAGAAAAAAAGCTATAAATTTTAACTTGGATTTTCTTGTGGAAATGCATTATCACTTGCAATGATCTGTCCCTTCCACTATTTGTATGTAATTTCCCAATGCACTGCCAAAATACATATTTGGAACAACTGAAGGTCAAGGAAGGTCCAAAATGCACGCTGCTTAGCCTTGAGCAAAACTTGAAACAACGTTTGTGTGGATTTGATTCCAATGTTATGCATTTAAGTTTACTGCATTGCAGTGTGAATAAAATTGACCAATCCAATTGAAAACCTGTTTTGTCTTCCTCATTATTTAGTGAAATTTAGTTTTAGTCTAAATAGCCTTTTTAATCTCATGTTTACATTTCTTCAGTCCTTGTAAGTTGCAACCATCCCATGAGGCGTTTCAAAACAAAAAAACAAAAACAAAAACATGACCCATATAAGTTCTTTTTATCTTTCCCTACACAATTTTATATTTTCATTTCTAGTGCCTTGAAGCAAATGTTTGTTTACCCCAGATGTTCCTCTAAAGGGTTAGCATGGTGCTGAAGCAGTTGACTGTGTGTTGGAGGAGGAAAGGGCAAGCTACTCACATTACACAGGAATAACAAAGCACTATTTTACACATCATGGGATTAATAATCAAGTCCTTTATTCTGAAATGTTTGCTGGTTGATTTCCCATCTTCCTTAAGTTTAGATTGCAAAGCCTTCAAAAAAAATCAAGTCAAAATATTTAGGTTGAACAAAGGTTTGAAATAAATCCTCACAAATTATATTCCCCACTCCTCTAGGCTGTCATAAACCAGCAACAATTATCTCACAAAACTAGAGTGGTGTGGGTTGTGCTCAAACCATCTAAAAAGAAAGTAGGACTGGCAAAATTGCTTAAGGTAAAAGTTCTTGCCACCAAGTCTGATGACTTAAGTTCAATCCCAGTATCCACAGTTCAAGTTCAAAAATGATTAACCATAGTAGTCCTCTGACTTCTGGTATGCTCTTCCTGGCAAATGTGTACCCAACACATGTACACAAAATGAGAAATGAATGCAATTAAATTTTAAAGCAAATAAATAAAAATAAATAGAAATAAATTTTAAAATGTTTAAATGAATAAGCAAATATTATATATGTTATGAAACTATTTCCTAAATAGAAATCACTTTCTAATAATTCATGAATTACTTGTTTCTTGTTATCAACTATTGATCCAATCTGATCTGAAACAGTTATAACTAACTAAATGGTGCTCAACCTGAAAAACACTCCTTAAGAATCCCCACTGTTTAATTACATATGATTAATAGCTACTTTTAGTTGTAGAGACCTATAGAGGTTTCCTTGTGAGATCATACTCAGGGTCCGAGAATCTGAGCTTGCTTTACCCAGCAGGGCTGTATAAGGAGATAATTTGACCACGGGCATAGTTATCAGGTATCTGGAAGGGTCTACAATTGGCTGTGTGGTGTGCTTTGATCCAACAAGGAGGAGGTCTTTTGCCCCACCCCCTTGGCATTGTTATAAAAAGCCCTTTTGAAGAGGCTAAAGGGACCTTTGGGTTTTGATCCAGATCCTCCCAAAGCTATCCTGTCTTTCTGTCTTTCTCTTCTTCTCTTTCCAAAAGTTTCTTATCTCTCCTCCTCACAGGAACTCTTTAAAAGGTAGGAGCTGGCTTCCCACACATGGTGAATCAAGTTCTATACCTAGTTAACTACTAAAAAAATTCCAGTTAATTTTTATTGTATCATTACAGATTTTTATATATCTTATATTGCTATTAATTTTATGTGAAATTAATTTTCAGCAAAAAATCTACATTAATATTAACTTTAGGACTCAATATTTTAAAATATTTTAGCTGGTTGTTTTTAATATATTTTTATTAAATCTTAGAGAATTTCATGCTACATATCCTTTAGCTAATTGTTTCTATGGTTTAAAATTGAAAATATTATAGAGTGGTCAGGAATGGAGAGACTTATATCTAGCTATTTATCTATGATGCCTGTAATTGTAGACATCTGAAACACAAATCCTCAACACATCTTATTGGATCATTTTTCCTCAATGTGTTACACACTGCATTATATCCAGGACACCAATTACTTATTCAGCTTATTTTCTTTTTTCTTAAATATGTACAATGACTATAATTCACCTGGCAATCATGTGAATCCATCAAGACAACCAGAACTTGTTAGACATATGAAAAGTATTAGTTCACTAGAGAAATAAAGGAGTACGGTGCATTTTATATATACATATATATATATATATAAATATATTATAATTAAATTATAATAACATCATGCCTTCCATTCCCTCCAGTACATCCCATGCACATCCTTTATTTCTCCCAAATCCATGACCTCTTTTACATTGTTGTTACATACACACACACACATACATATATATGTTATACACATACACACACACACAATATATTCCTATACATGTAAATACCACCAGCTCAGTCCATGTAACATTGTCTGTGTGTATATGACCTCAGGGTTGAGCATTTGGTACTGGATAACCAATTAGGGTAAGGAATCTTCCTAAGAGTAGAGCGTTTCTCCATGGTGCATTTTACAAATAAAATTCCCAAAATGTTCTTTTTGTTTTCCATTTAGAAAATGTTTATAATATTCATAGATTATAATACAATATTAGGTTTAAAATCAAATTACTATGCAGCCTCCCTTCCTTCCATGCCCAGTGTGCTGCATACAGTGTGGACTTCTGAAATACCTGAACACATCTCTCTACTCAATTCTTTTCACCCTTCCAACATGATCTTAAGGTAATGCTGAGAACTCACAAATGTCAGGAATATATTTTTTATAAAGGGTACTTCCACATCCATATTCACTGCTGATAAAATTAAAATAGCTAAGAAATGAGTAACCTGAAAATCCTTCAACAAATGAATGGACAACAAAAATGTGGAACATATAAATTAATTTAGAGATAGAGAAAAATGAAACCAAGAACTTTGCAGGTAAAATGGATCAAACTAGAAAAAATGATAATGTCAATATTAAATTGACAGACATTTTTTTGTCTGATCTGTGGTTCCTAGCTCCAAATCTTCAGATTTGGGATGACAATGCACACACAGAGATAGATTATCTAACAAAAATGCCAGTACCTAGCACCAAAACATCATTTCCAGTTCTTAGTCCATGCAGTTCAAGAAACTTCCAATACAATACAGGCAATTGATGTTGCCTTGGTTGCCTCCTGAGTTTAAAGATAATTCCCTTTTGCTATAGACATCATGCACTTTGTACACAGGACTCAGCAGATCTGAACTAGATCTAACCATAATACCTCTCCACGAGGACTAGCTGCCATAGTCACAGGAAGGTGCTGTGTAAGCTGCCAAAGGAAGAAAATAACCAATATTCATACCTAGATGTGATGCCCATGAATTACAGAAATGGCCAGCATCACAAGATATTACTAATGGTGTGATAGTAGCACACATATCTTGGTGGCAAACAACAGCTTTTTAATTGGATTTAAGGCCCACTCAACTTGGAAGAAAATGATATCTAATACTGGAAACCTAGCCAGCTACCTAGAGCTAGCAAGTCAAAGATCTTAGAGGAGAACCTTCTACCATCACTTTACTAAACCTATATAAATTGCTAACTGCATTTTAAATATTTGTCCTTATAAGTATAGTTATCATCCCTGATCAAACAAAATTCTCACTGCAAAAGACATAAACCATTACAGAAAATCACAACTGGTCAAAATATAAATAACAACTGATCATAAGTTTTCTAGCCTCAGTTGATACATTTACTTCACAACTCTAACAACTTAGGCTCAGGGAACATCAAGGAAGAAGGAGAGGAAAGATAGTAAGAGCCAGAGGATCAGGAAGTTTGCTGGGCTATTGTGTGTCAAGGTAAGAACAGGGGAACATTACCCATGATACTTGAACAAACTTGGCTGCCTAAATAAGATGAGAACAACAGTAATAGACATGCTAGCATGTCTTTCATAGGGCTCCACCAAGACAAAGATTTATAGGCAACTAGGGAATTTTAAAAGAGGGAAAAATAATCATCACCAGGGAATGGGTATCCTCTTTGATTATACAAGACGATATGGTCATCCTTGAAATCATATACATGTAACTAGCAGTAAATAGACTGAACAGATTGTATTGGTAAATTTAGGTATAAATATATAGCAACAACAATCTAAGAAAAAAGAGGTCATGAATTCAAGAGGGAGTTGGATGGGATTAACATTGGAGGAGTTGGAGGGAGGGAACTAAATGGGAAAATGATATATTTTAGTTAAAAAAGAAATTTTGAAAGGGTAGTAATAATAATCTTTTTAATATGAGTCTATTCCAAATTATTCTAGCTCCTGGGTGTATTTATCTATAATTTCACTGTGGTTGTTATTAGTTGATGGCCATGAGAAATTTAAAGACAATTATAACATATTTCTAGTACCTCAGTAGTTAGATTATATGCAATGTCTTTCTTCCCATTGATGAAGGCAATTCTCTGTAGTGTCTTTATTGCTTGTTCTGTTTTCCGAGTGCTTATTAGCCACCGGACTGATTCTGGGCCCCACCTGTTTTAAAGATTAATAGAAGGGAAGGTCATATTAATGTCCAAAGACATTTCTCTTGTATCCAGGAAAAGAATAATGTTATAGCTATGATCCCACCTACCAATTGAGAACATTCCAGGATTTAAGCAACCTTCAATGTATCCATGAATCCCACTGTCATACCCTGTGGCTAAGCCTTTTAATATTTATTCATAGCTATAAAAACAACAAAATTTTTGTTCTTACAGAGGCATAAAGACTCCATTATTCAAAATCTAAATGTGTTTCATAGTACTCTAATTCAAAAATTCTGCCACTTCAATATGTGACTCTAAATTGATTGAAATTCACAGTTTTTAAATACAAAAATGTGTATATTCCAGATTAAAAGTACTATTAACTTTTTATATTGCTTATTTGAAATAATACCTTATGGTTTATTCCTAAGAAGACAAATTAAATTTTGAAAGAATACCAGAATAATTTCTTTCAGAAAAAAAAGTCTGTTGTACATCTCCTTAAAGAGGTATCTAAAAGGTCTATTTTCAGACTTCTCTGTCCTTGACTGCCATGCAGTTAGATTTTCCTGTGACTTGAGCTCAACAATCAAGTGAAAACCAAAGTGATACATAAATGAAATTTTGAGCCACCATTCACTTAATTTTATAAATTAGCTGAAAATATCCTATTATTGCTTTTTATAAGACTTCTAATTTATTTTTCTGCATATAGTGCTTCAAATGGCACAGAAAAAATGAGTAAATGGCAAATATTCCTCAGGAGACAAAGCAACACCATCATATGATACAGTCATTAGGGTTTAATTGTTTAGTACATATGTCAAAGTACACATACCAGAAAACAATGAAAAAAATGAAGTAGGGCAAGGCAAGAACAAGTTGCAGTATGTGCCAGTCTGAAAGCACATAGGCTAGTCCCCCAAGCCCGGCCTGGCCAATACTGATGGATAGTCCACTGAGTGTTATGATTCTGCTATACCACTTTGGTGAGGTTTCTTCAAAAACTAAAAGAAAAAAATAGTTCTGTATTAGTTTGCAGTTTACTGCTGTGTTTATCAATATGACCAATAGCAACTTGGGGAGGAAAGGTTTTCTTTTATCTTAGAACTTATAGACCATCATGAAGGGAAGTAAGGGCATGAATTTGAAGGCAGGAACTGATGCAGAAGCCATGAAGGACTACTTCCTCGCTTGCTCTCCATGACTTGCTCAGCCTGTTTTCTTGACTAACCCAAGACTACCTACTCCATGGTGTTAGGACCATTCGTAATAGGCTAGGCCCTCCTAGCCCATTAACTGATCATTAATTTAAAGAAATATCCTTCATACTTGCCTACAGTCAATTCTGATGAAGGCATTTCATCTGAGGTTCCCTCTTCCCATATGAGTCTAGCTTGTGTCAAGTTGACAAAAACTAGCCAGCACATTATCCAACACCATTTAAGAAAGATAGCTTCAAGAATGAAAGACAATGCATGTGTACAGATTAAAGCAAACTTACCAAGGATAGGACAGTTGATTACAATATTACTTATGGATGCAGACATCAGGAATCTCAAAACACAGTAAAGGGAGAAATTAGGGGCAAAGGCACAGCAGGACCCGAAAATCCCATAGGCTAAGCAAGAACACACCAACAATGGTTTCCTTCCAAACCTATAGTAACAGTAGTTAAAATAGTAAAAAGTCTACAACTGATTATTTACACATCATTAGCATATCTCCAGAGAATCCTCATTACTCTTGGATCCTTGTTTTCTGACATCCTATACCACCATAATAAAACAATTAAAGTCACATATCTTTACATAAATGTCAATGTATAGTCACTACCTTTATGTATCTAATAAAGCACATTTCTCTATTTCTTATCTGAGCCATCACACTGAGTATATTCTAGGTTCTTTTAAACAATTTTATTGCTTTGTGTGTGTGGGGGGGGTATGCATGCAAGTGTTCGTGTGCGATATGCATGCAGGCACCCATGGAGACCAGAATAGGGCATCTGAACTGAATTGAGGTCCTCTGAAAGAACAGCAAGCACTCTTAACTACTAAATCATCTCTCTAGACTCATCATTTTTGCTACCATTTCTTACTTACTTAGCATATCCACACACATTAATTGACTTATATCCTTCCTCATAAATATTAATAATTAGCATAAGTTAATAATATATTATTCATAACCCATTTGTTTTAAAATCTGCCTCATTATTCATCTGGTTGTGAAGTGCTTATCTACTGTTAACTCTATATTTTTCTTTCTAGAAATTTTCCTGAGCAGTAATCAAACTCAAATGTTTTTAACCTCCTGTCATAAACTTTCTTATAGACTTCAAGCAAATTAATTTTCATGAATGAATACTTTAAGTACACTGTATAATTTTTAAATATGAAAATGCCCATAAGTTTTGAGTTGCCACAGTTTTCTGGCCATCTTGTATACCAAACTTAAGAAGAAAATGAGGATTTAGTTCTTACAAATTTAGCTTCTGAATTTTGTCTCCATTGCTAAATCTATGCTATTTTTTTCATTAATCATATTTGTTACATAACATTTTGTGACACTTTTGTCCCCTTTCCCTTTTTCCATCTATCACTTGTTAATTCTTTATGGGTCAGTTCAATGTTCACACCTATGTGGAGTCTGCAATATTGACTTATCTTCCAAAGTATTTTATTTCTTTGAAACTTACCTATCACAATACTGTATTAAGCCTCCTAGATTCTTTCAATGTTCATAATTGAATAAAACTGTATAGTCTTTAAAATCAGTTTTATAGATGATTCTTTGTCCAAAATAAGAGAGGGACTTACCTGTCAGAAAAAAGACCACACACAAGACTAGCCAGCAAATGCCCTGCCATAGTGGTAGCTTGTGCATAGTATTTGAATGACTGGAAATCACATACTAAATCCCACTGTAAAAGATTGAATAAAAATATCATTACTCGAATGATTATACATAGTATTTCAAAAGAAGCCTCAATTATAACTAGTGAATATACGTGCTGGGTAATGAGAAACAGTCCCTGATTATTTTTTTAACATTAACAATGATTACTTCCTTGGTAACTTATGGTTAGATATGTCATTGCCCCTAGAGGAGAGGCTACTACTATTATTTTGCTAAATGTACATAGTATTAAACTGGCTCCTAATGACTACATTATACCCATAGATTAGTGCCTCTATCACTTATTTTCAGAGCAGTTTCTATTTACTAGTAGTAGGTGGTGATCAATGAAGAGATCCAAAACTGGTCAACACAGAAAATAAGAGACTACAGAGAGCTCAGCCTTAAATGAAACATACATTTCATACACCCCAGCTGGTTATCATATATTACTATATTTCTGTAGTAGTAGGAATCCATGGAACATTTTCTAAATGTTTTTAGAGTTATTTCTCCCTTACTTTGTTCCATCCTATCTACCCTCCCCTCCCAAACCCCAATTTAACCCTTTCTATTCCATTACTCACTTTTAAACTTTTATACCAGTGCATTCTATCTCCCCTAGCTTGAAACATGAAGCCCCATGTCCCCTTAATAATTTCCTGACCTATATATGTATAAAAATAAAATATATGCATGTGAAGATACAAAGCTAACTTTTTAAAATGAGAGAAATCTTGTAATATTTGTCTTTCTAGTTCTTAGTTACCTCTCTCAGAATGATTCTTTCTAGCTCCATCAATTTACCTGTGAACTTCATAATTTTATTTTTCTTAATAGCTTAATAATATTCTTTAATATTCTTTAATTGGTGCATGATTTTAACAAATGGAGGTAGTTAAATTTTGTAATCTATGTTCTACAATTTCTGTCTCCAATGAAAAGGATTTCCTTATCTTTTACAAAATGTAAGATATTTGTCTTAGTCTGGGAGCAAGCTTTGGACACATTAAACAATTTCTAACAAGAAATATATCCACTGGTGCAAGAGTGATGTAATTTAACAATAGTAGCACAACTAACCACTTTTCTACAGGATTTGAGGCCTGCTTCACAGGGGAAATTTTCATGCTTGGTATGGTAGTACTAGTTAAAAGCCCAGGGTTAAGGAGGTCATAGGCTCTAGGTTGGAACCTCTTATTGCCACTTTGCTCAATGGTTATAATGTCAAAATTGCCTTCTTGTGGTGGTTTGAATAAGAATGAATCCAAAAACTCATATGTTTAAATACTTGGATCCAAGTCAGTAGAACGGTTTAGGAAGGATGAGGAGGTGTGGCCCTGTGGGAGGATGTTTGTCATTGAGAGTAGAAATTGAGGTTTTAAGAACCATGAAATTCCCAAAGCTTTTTCTCTGCCTCTTGATTGTGGATCAAGATGTGAACTCTCAGATATTCCATCACTCCTCTATTATGGAGTCTAACCTTATGAGGCCTTAAGCCAAATTGAACACTTTCTTTTATAAATTGCCTTGGTTGTGTTTTATCACAATAAAAATTAACTAAAACACATCTAAATATGTATGTATATACCTATAGACCTAACTGCTCTCAATCTGGCTCAGAGAACCTTCTTCTAGCAGTAGGCAGCTATCAAGGAGAGACACATAATTAGTCAATAGCTTAGAAAAGGAGACTGATTGTTCAGCCCTAAATATAGTATTTTAACATCTTTATTAACCACCATCTACCCCCAAAGCTCAGGGAAAATTCTATATTCTGAGCATATCATAGCTATCCAATTTCATGAAGTCATATCAGCTGTGGTTACCTACTCAAGATATGCAAAATATCAAACCAGTCCAAATTCCACATAGATACGGGTAGTAACCTCCTGAACTCACTCTCCGCAAAGGATTTATTTATGAGAACTTCTGCTTTTAAATGTTTTATAAATGTCATTCATTGTCATCCTTGAAACCACTCCAACCCTAAATAGTTATTAATTTGTATGGAAAATTAGAATTTATAATGATTATGTTCAGATGATAACATTAAACAGAAACTTCCCTAAAAACATGATATAAAATAACACTGCCTTCAATATTAATAAACTAAAACATAAAGCTTAATAACAGTAAATAATAGATCTAAGATTTTTCACCCAAATAAGCCGAGTCTTGAAGATACACTACTAACTGTAATATTTGAATGCAATCACCACATTCAGTTAAAATTTTTGTAGAATGGTGGTATTATTCTCTTTTCAAATATATGGGGAAAGATTCATATAAAGTGCAAATATATGGGCATAAAGTATGTATCAATGATAAAAACTGCAAATCTTAACTTTGAAGCTGTATCTCTCTTGAAAAACACACAGAGAGAGAGAGAGAGAGAGAGAGAGAGAGAGAGAGAGAGAGAGAGAGAGAGAGAGAGAGAGAGAGAGAGATTCACATCTCCTTCCAAGGTCTCAATATTTTGTGAAAACTATCTTAAATCTCATTACTTGGGGCCAGGGCTCCATAGTCAACTCACTAGACATCACTAGATGTAACTTACCTCAGTAACAATGGTAGAAGTAAAAACACTGTGGTCATATGTCCATCCATCCAGGCATGGCTCAGTCTCCAGCTTAGTGTTGTTAAAAATTGATACATTGGAATCTAAGAATTGCCACTGGGTATGCCGGAAGCGTTGGCATTGCTCAGGTTTCTGATTGGGGCCCATTGGGATGGAGACCTTCAGCAGAGCATCAGTAGTTAAGTTCATGGTGATATTAATTTCAGATCTTGGATTGTCAAGAAGGTTTACACTGCAGTGATGATCAGGGATGGCGGCTGTAAAATTCTCCATGATGTCATGAGAGGATGACATCAAAGATAAGATGATGTAAAGGACAATCCTCGCAATCTGAAATCTTCCACTGTCACCTACATGGTGTAGAATTTCATCAAAGGCCATGGCTATTCCTGCAAAAGCTGGCTGCAGAATCATAGGTATTGTGGTATAGAAAACAAATTGAAAATTGTGACTTAATTGATTTTTTTAATATTTTTATTTTATAAGTAACTTTTTAATTGATTTTTTTTTTACTTTTCTGGGCCAGAAATTCAGAAATTTGAAATAGTCATTCTTTTCTTAACAAAATGCACATTCTCTGCCCACATATTAAAATATAATAAACCACTTGGATTTTTCATTCTTTCTTTTCATTCTTTCACAACAAAGACAGCAGTATGTTTTATTCCATAATGACAGAGAATTCAAATAAAAAAAATCCCTGATTTGACAGCTGCATTGAATTAATACCAGTTTATAAATACAGTTAAAATGCAATGTGTTGTATTCTGCTCAGCTCTTGAGAAGTATTTTTTAAAGGATAATTATATCAATTACAGTCTTTCTGCTCCTGTGAGACTGTGTCTTCTTTATAGGACAGGAAAGCTACACCATGTCTCAAAAATATGGAAGTCTAAACAAGATCTGAACAATGACATCAGTTACCATACCAACATGAATGGTGAAAATCTCACAAGGCCCCACCCCTGGTTAAAGAGCTTATGCAATCAAGAACTCTGCTTAGAGTGAGAAAATCAGTCCCTTCCAGGGATTAACCCCTAAGTAGTTATGCAGTGCAAAATGGTCAACCCTAAAATCATACATGTGAGCAACAGTAAATGGACTCAGCAGGTTTTATTTATATGTGTGTGTATATGTAACAACATATTCAAAGAGAAAAGTAAACAACAGAAATAACACATGAAAATAGAAGAACTCATGGGTAGAGAAAGGGGAAGAGCAGGTTGTAGGGAATAGGATATAATAATAGGGAATTGAAGATGACCAAAATATAATATTTGCATAAATAAAATGTCATAACAAAACCCGTTACTTTGTACAATTAATGAATGCAAATAAAATAGAGAAGAGATACTAATATACAAATAAAGATTACATATATTCAAGGCCTAAAAATGTCATGGTTGCATAATACTTCTAATCAGATTAATTTCTGTTTCTATCATCGTGTACATGTGCCTTACATACTGACAGTTTGCCTGTCTCATCATTGTGGTATTACCCTTTCAACAACAGCTTCCCAACTTCCTTCCCCAATCACCTGAAAGCATTATTCTACCTTTGGGTTCTATGAGTTCAACAGTTTGGGGTTGTACGTATAAGTCAAATCAATTTGTATTTTCCTTTCAGTGTTTTGTTGTTTTCACATAGAATACTGTCCTTCCATGTTGTTTATGATTTAATATGTAGCAAGAGTTTCTTCTTCTTCTAACTGGATAGTAAAAATAATTTTCAAAAAATCAAAAAAAATGCTTATATGTATATATATATTGGAGATATATATATCACATTCTTATATATATATATTATCACATTCTTTTTATAGCTAGGTACCTTTAAAAGAACCCAATATCCCAAATCATCTACGAAATGAAAATCACAACCAAGTCTAGCAACAATGATAACATATCCCCTTACATCTTAGAGCGTCTTTTATTAAAAAAACTAGTAGAGCCAGGCTGTGGTGGCTCACACCTTTAATCCTAGCACTTGAGAGTCAGAGCCAGGCAGATCTCTGTGAGTTCAAGGCCAACCTGGTTTACATAGCGAGATCCAGGACAGGCACCAAAACTACACAGAGAAACCCTGTCTCGAGAAATAAATAAATAAATAAACAGACAGAAGGGTAGATAGATAAATAAATAAATAGTAGAAGTACCAATGTAGGAGAATAGTTTGAGAAAAGTCATTACATACTCGTCACAAGAATGCAATGCAAATCAGCATCTCAATTAGGAATAATATAGTGGTAATTCCTCAAGAACAATTTAAAAATTTGTCAATCCCTCTTCTGATTCTAAATCCAAGGAAAAACACATAAATATTTGTCTCTTATGTCCATAACAGAATTATTCACAATAGAAAGCTATGGGGAAAGGCAGCATTCATCATTGGAAAATCATTTTGTTGAAAACTGTTTATCCTTGGCTTTCTCAAATGATGTGTTTGTACAAATGATAAGCATGTATGTTTTTATATGATAGAAATTATCAGAAAGAAAAGAAAAATATATTTTCAAGGTACCCCCTACCATGGGCTTCACACTAGGGTCCACAGCCCTGGTAGCTTTACCAGAGGCCAGAGTAGTCCTAGGGAACCTAGGGATTACACTGCTCACCACCAGCTTGACCCCTTTAAGCCTGTCCAATGACCTCGGAGTGCACTCACACCCTGTGACTCATATCCCATTCTATTACTTTGAAGTAGTCTTCAGCTATACCAGAAGGCAGGCAGGATCTAGGAACCCCAGATTGTACCTCCTTACTCTCTTTAGCTCCATATCAAGGCCTACAACTTCAGAAGCAGATTTTGGCTTTATAATTGCACAGGCTGGATCCAGAGCCCACAGCCCTGGCAGATATACTGGAGGCCAGGCTGGTTATATGGACTTCAGAGGCCACACTAGAACTAGGAACCCCAGACTACACCCCCTCCCCTGAGCTGCATATCCTGGTCTATAACTTTGGAAGAAGAATTCAGCTTTACCAGAAGCCAAGCCAAAACCCCCCAAACCCCAGAGAAGACACCATACTAGACTCAAAAACATGCTAGTCACCAGAACCCTTGGCCATTTAGGTCAGAAGACAAGAGAGGAAAGCGAAACCAAGGAATAAAAAATCAATCTAACAAAGACAAATGCAGGAATCAAAACCTAGACCTATAATCATCCAAATCCAGATGGCTAAACTTCAGTGTAAGAACACAATCAATAACAGAAAAGGTAATATGGCATCATTAGAGCCCAGCTATCCTAAAACAGCAAGACCTGGACAACCCGAAACAGATGAAGCACAAGGAAATGACATTAAAAATTAATTTATAAAGATGATAGAGGTCCTTAAAGAGGAAATGAAAAAAAAATCACTTAAAGAAATTGAGGGAAAGACAAACAAAAATTGGAATGAATCAATAAATCCCTAAAAGAAAGCCTATGAAAAAAAAAACCAACAAATACTTGCATGAAATGAACAAAACTATTCATGACATGAAAATGTAAATAGAAGTAATAAAGAAAACAAAAACAGAGGGAATCCCTGAAGTAGAAAATCTGAGCAAATGAACAGGAACTACAGAAGCAAGCATTATCAACAGAATACAAGAGAAGGAAGAGAGAATCTCAAGTGTCGAAGACATGATAAAGGAAAGATTCATCAGTCCAAGAAAGCATTAAATCTAAAAAATCTCCGATACAAAATATCCATGAAATCTGGGACACTATAAAAAGACCAAACATAAGAATAACATGGATAGAAGGAGGAGAAGAAACAGCTCAAAATCCCAGAGAATATATATAACAAAATCATAGAATTTTCCCAACCTAAATAAGGACATGCCTACAAAGGTACAAGAAGGTTAAAGAACACAAAATAGATTAGATCAGAAAAGGAAGTCCTCTTGCCATATAATAATCAAAACACTAAACATACAGAACAAAAAAAATAATATTAAAAGCAGCAAGGGGAAAAGGGCCAAGTAACATATAGGCAGACCCGTTGAATTATACCAGACTTCTCAATACAGGCCCTAAAATCCAGAAAAACCTGTACTAATGTCTTGCAGACTCTAAGAAACCACTGATGCCAGCCCAGACTACTACACACAGCAAAACTTTCAATCACAATAGATGGAGAAAATGAGATATTTCATGACAAGTCAAATTTAAACAATATCTATCAATATCTATGTACAAATCCAGCCCTTCAGAAGGTAATAGAAGGAAAACGCCAATCCCAGGAAGCCACCTATCCAACAAAAACACAAGTAAGAGATAATCACAGACCAGCAAAACCCAAACACACACACACACACACACACACACACACACACACACACACACACACACTCACTACCAACAACAACAAAATAACAGAAATTAATAATCATTGGTGATTAATATCCCTCAATATCAATGGACTTGATCTCAATTTGCCAATGAAAAGACACAGGCTAACAGGCTAAGAGAATGAATAAGGAAACAGGATCCACCATTCTGCCACATACAAGAAAAATGCCTCAACATCAAAGACAGACATTACCTCAGAGTAAAAGGTTGGAAAAATATTTTCCATTCAAATGGACTTAAGAAGCAAGTTGCTATAGCTAATATCTAACAAAATAGACATCCAACCAAAATTGATCAAAAGAGATGAAGAAGGACATTTCATATTAATCAAAGGGAAAGTTCACCAGGATTATGTCTCAGTTCTGAACATCTATGACCCAAATTGAAGGGCACATTTGTAAAAGAAACATTACAAAAGCTTACATCATGCATAGGATCCACACAATAATAGTGGGAGACTTTAACACCCCACACTCACCAAAAGACAGACCATCTAGATAAAAACTAAACAGAGAAATAACAGAACTAAGAGATGTTATGATTCAAATGGACCTAACAGATATCTACAGAACATTTTACCCAAACACAAAAGAATACACCTTCTTCTTAGCACCACATGGAATCTTCTCCAAAATTGAGCATATATTCAGCCACAAAGCAAGTCTCAACAGATACAAAAAAATTGAAATGACCCCCTGTATCTTATCAGACCACCATGGATTAAAGATGGATTTCAACAGCAGAAACAACAAAAAGCCTACAAACTCATGGAAACTGAACAATGCTCAACTGAATCACCACTGGGTCAAGGAAGAAATATAGAAAGAAGTGAAAGCCTTCCTAGAATTCAATGAAAATTAATGCACAACAAACCCAAACTTATGGGACAAAATGAAAGCAGTCCTAAGAGGAAAGTTGGTAGCACTAAGTGCCTTCATAAAGAACTTGGAGAGAGCTCATACTAGAGACTTAACACTTGAAAGCTCTATAATAAAAAGAGGCAGACAAACCTAAGAGGAGTAGACCACAGGAAAAAAATCAAACTCGGGGCTGAA